CCCTGCATGGTATATGAAAGCCCAGAATTGGGCAGTGAACTCTGCATGGTATATGAAGCCCAAGATTGAGCAAAAATTAAACAGTGATAACATGTGATAGTGTAGTAGTAGTGTGTATTCACACCTGCATACTTTGCACACTGTAGAGAAGAAACAGCAGTAAATCAAATACAGCTGCACGTATATCCTGTTCAAATATGTGACTAAATGCAGACAAATTTACTAAATGCAAATGAATGAAAAAATACAAAGAAGACAAATACAGTAGTGACAGAATGATTACTTTAATTTTTATCCACCACATTCAAAATTATCTAGACCTCAAAAAAAATATGAAGTGATCTACAATTGTCATCAATTCAAGCACCAATAATAGGATAAAAATATTCAAACCTTTTCACAACCAGATTTGTTTGGCCTAAATTTGTCAGCACTTTTCTTATATTCTTCAATATTTCTGGAAATGAACCCTAATTTTGAAGCCAACATACAAAATTTGAATTTATTTTCAGTTTTTACTCAAAAAATTAGGTTTTTTTGCTCCAATCTTCTGAAGGAAAGTACAGACTATAAACAGGACTATTTTGTGAACTTGTGATGAAAAGAGGGAACTGGTGGTGAAAATGTTAAGTAACAATGAGTTATTTCTCTTTCTCATATAAAAGTTTACAGATGTCAATCTGTCATCTTGTTTATGCAGAATGATGACAAGAAGAAATTTCTTCATCACCAACAAATTGGACAGCAGGAAATGGCCAGAATAATGAATAACACAAATACCGTATTTGGTCTATTAAATGCAATCATGTTTACATAAATGACAGAGGTATGTCTATTGTAATAAAAATACGTCATATTTAAATGATTCAACATTGAGTAAATGCAATTATTGGTTCATGTGCACTTCTATCACAAATGTACTCTAACAGAGCAAAAACTATAGATTAGGTATGGCAAACAAAGCTAAAGAAATGACGGGATATTGTGACAAGCACACTGTAACATTCCTAACGGTTAGAAGTGACATAGAATTCATCAATACCATGAAATCAAGGTCATAAACATGTCATGACAATCAAATCGGAATTGCAACATTTCTAGTTCTGTCATCCAGAAGTAACGATGTTTACTTGATTCCTATTATGCTGAAATCGATGCCTACTTTGTTGCCATGGCAATAAAAATTACTAGTTGGATGAAAAGTTCTACTACCCAAATTGTTCACATCCCGAAAGTTACTCCAGAGGCAACCAGTACACTTTGACCAAAGTACTGTAAAACATGTCTTTTCTGCGAGCATGTCTTTCAGCGAATTTAGCGAGAGAACTAATTCGCTAATTTAAGATGTCACTAATGACTTCATTATAAATTCAAAATGACGGCTAAGGGAACATCTTTTTCTCCACACACACACTTTGTAAACAACACAGAAAACCTAATAATCTGGAGTGCTTCCTTATTACACTTGATAGTTTTTCTTGGTTTTTATGGAGTTGATAACAGCGCATTTGTTTTGGCAGGCGACAGACAAGTATTGTGAAATCAACAAAGACAGGCGAGATTTGCTAAATCAACATTTTGCTATTAGTCATTTTACCACAATTCGCTAAAAAAGTGTATCGTTTTTTTAACATGTTTTACAGTAAATACCGGGTACTTAAATATCAAAATCGCCTTATTTTGAAAGACAAATTTTAACATTGAAAATCAAAAATTTGGTACAGCGAAAATGTCACTGTCACAAATTCCACAAATTACTCCCAGCAATAACAGTCAACAGTATATTTTACTCACTGCGACTGCGATTCTTCCCAGGACTGGTTCTGGTATACAGCCATAAATATCAAGTGAACACCCTGGTGGAAACAACACAAACAATTAATGTTTATTTGGCTGACATGGAGGTGGGTAGAATATTATACCAATAAATACCCCACAGCAGTATGTACCATATATACAGAGTTTAGTCTGTGAAACATAAGTATACAAGTCACATGAATTTCAATTGAGGATCTGACAACACAGGATATTAAGCGATAAGCGGTCGGAAAAAAAAGCGATAAAAGCGGGAGGTTGGGCAGAATGAGTACTGTATGGTACTGTAGATTAATTTATTTTCGCTACTTTCGCTGAACGGATGATTCAGTGTAAATAAAATCCAGCGAATATACTTTTTTTCCTATATTTCACATTCAACTATCAAAAATCAGTGAAAATAAATTCCATACAAAACACCCAAAAAACCTTTTCAGCGAAAATCAATTTCAGCTAAAATAAAGTATTTTACAGTATATGAATTATGTTTATACTTGCCGTCCATGTATTGCGTGCAAATTGATATTCTATTTTCTGAGAAAAAAGCACCATAAAACCCTATAATAACGGGAAAGTTACACTGCAAGAAATAAATAGAAGAAACAATTTTTGAGTTTATTGAGGATTTTAGAATATATCTTTATGATTGTCAAGTGTAACTGTGGTGTGGGGTGTGGGGAATGGTAAGGTGTAGTGGGAAGTTTTGAACGAAATGGTTCCTTTTGTTTAGAGTTTATAGTCTTTCATCATCGTTGAGGCCTAATTGATTTATTTATTTTCTGTGAAAAAATGATCAAATACTGAAGGCATTCACAAACTGCATGGTGCATGCGATTCAGTCATCTATGATGTCAGATTGCCATGAGGTTAATGTACAATTAGTTGTGTGTTATACCAAAAAATTATCTGGACCAGTGATACCAAATTCGTTGATGGTGAGCAGATATCTAGCCTAACTCAAAGATTAGCTAGACATTATTTAAATAGCTTTTAAATTACCATATATCTGGATTGAACATTGAAAACATCTTTTCACTACTTATTTTTTCCACAAATTATATACTTGGTGAAAATTCCTTGTTGAAATTGTACACTAAGACTAGTTCAGTATTATCATTTTATAAACAATCTTTTGTTGTTATGAGAGTGACTGCATGTGGAGAAGACAGTGTTTTGAGTGACTGTTGTAAAATTAACAACAAATTACTGTAAAATACTTTATTTTAGCTGGAATTAATTTTCACTGAAAAGACTTTTTGGGCATTTTGTGTATGGAATTTATTTTCACTGATTTTTGACAAGTTGAATGTAAAATATAAGAAAAAAGGTATATTTGCTGGATTTTGTTTTCACTGAATCTTGCTTTCAGCGAAAATAGTGAAATTAATTCCAAGCAAAAATAAAGTATTTTACAGTACAATTAAGTCATTTAACACAATTTGGAAACGTGGAAATGCTAGTAATTTGTGCTATTGTTATTGTTATTGTTGTTTCTCTGGTAATTAAACAGAAGATGTTCATTTATTATTTAATCTGCATACTGAAATAATTGATGACTAGAATTATGGTTTTTGTATATCTAAAGTTCCTGAATCAAAGCCAGCTGAGAACCCATAGGAATTGAGCTACAACATGATGTATGTTACTGATACAACATGATGTATGAGAACGTAACCAGTTTAATTTTGTTTTACTGCCTGGAAAAGGCAATACTATAAGTACCTTTTATACCATGTTACTAAAGAGGAAATAAGATATATTAGTTCAATCCAAGCACAGAAATTTATAGTGTGAAATAAAGCTTTTATCAGAGGTACATTACTTGGGGTTTGCAATGAGCATAGTACTGTATGGTGACATCATATCAAGATCCCATTCAAGTCTCATCTTGTAGATAGCGAGACTGGTGCTACGACCTTCTGACATGACATAGGCGGTTTGTAATAAAACAATAGAACATGTATTACCACATTCATAGTGAAAAAATGTAATACATCGAAAATGTACAGAAAATATAGTTATTGTAATCCGTCATATCGTGAGCAGCTATTTTGATCCACCTGGACATCCCAGTATCCTTGTTACCTCGGGCATACGCATTCGCATATTTCTGAGTTGGAACGCTTATGCGAGAGCAAGATTGAAAAAGGATCTTGGTATCATGTCACCGTTGTTGCAAACCCCAAGTAATGTACCTCTGCTTTTATAAAGAAAACGTGAACATCTTTACGGATACAGAGTGGTTAGAGAAGTGTGTGACTAATCAGTGCCCATGTCAAAGGGAAATATGAGATGTTCATGGTAGACAAAGGTTATGACATCATATCACTATTCATTGACCAACACGAAGCAGTTTGTAATGCTTTTCCAGTAGCAGCTAGCAGACCAATTCACTGAGAGTAAACAAACACTTATTATACAAGAGAACTGGTGATGGTTGTAGAATCATAACTGCCTCAGCTCAAAGATTGTTATGTAATACAGGGGAATGTGAAAGGAAATGTATTGTAGTGTTACCTCTGTGTAATTTACAATATATCTGCATTAACCTTCACTGTGAAGGACAATATGGGAGTCGAAAGCAAGGCTGGTCAAATTCTGCGAAATAGTAGTTAGAATTTCCAGATACGCAATCGACACATTGTGAGATATCAAAATATGGATGATAAACAGCAAGTGATATTCCAGTGATGTAGTTGGAATTGAAGCAAAGGAGTGACCTATTAATCCATGAAACATACTCACACATATCCATACATATCATCCTGTCTTATTGTGTGTGGGCAAAGCTGTCATGCACACAATCGGAAAAATATGTTATTACTGGAAATAATTATGAACAATAAAACTGAAAATAAAAACTATGAACAGTTAATAAGGAAAATATGTGATTTGCTATGCAGTTTCCAGAAAATTATTACAAGTCCCAGAAGTGCATATGAGCCGTCAAAACGTACAGTTTGGTGACAGAACCCAAGTCACGGCGAATACTCTCTAGCAAGTCACCCCTCTAAAAACGTCATTACTGTGCCAATGACATTGAACTTTGCTCTTCCATAAAGCAGCAGTTTCCATCTTCAAATAATCAAAATAAACTTGATACCCTGGGGAAGCATGTCTATTGTTTAACAACGACTGTCCCAGGGGATGTTCGTCTTCCCAATTTCTCAAGATAAACGTCCCAGGGTTGTTTTGTGTACTAGAATGACATGTTTATTGTACCATTTCTTATATTAATTTCCATTGCACAAAAAAAAGAAGAAGCAAATACTGTTACTGAAGCACAGAGTTTGCATGAATTTTTCTCCCCGGCCATTCACGCAAACTGCAAACAAAGTCTTTTACCTCATCCATAATAGTTGTTGACACTTTGCACCCGCCTTGATGGATGTATTGTGACGTATTTTGACCCTGGATTCTGACCTTGCGTTCCGGCTACATGTACTGCCCTTTCATACCAGTTCGATTTCCTTTCATTATTACATCCAAATGTCATGATATTTAATATTTAAAACCAACCTTTATTTCACAGTCACTTTAGTTTTCACTTTTCTAAAATTATTTTACTGATCAAAAGACTTTTCACTTCCATCATGCAACCTCCCATAGTACTTCTGCAGACACAGCGGCGATTGCCAACATATCTACAAATAACCTCGCTCTCAGGAGCTGAGGAGTCAAAAGACTTTCCACTCCCATCATGCAATCCCCCATAGTACTTCCGCAGACACAGCGGCGATCGCCAGCATATCTACAAATAACCTCACTCTCTCGAGCTGAGGAATAACGCATGAATTTACAGTTTTATATATTCTAGTTTACTTAGCCTTCTCTTCATAACATCGCAACCATGGTTACTATAGTTTTCAATAAGCCCATAGAGCTATTTTTTAATCCCTGTACTTGAGTTAAAATTCTATGGTGCCAAATGAGTTAACACATGGTAATATGACATAGAACATATACTCATGACAATGGATAGCAAATAGCTGGACAATTAAATTTGGGCTGACTGTTTATTTGCCACATAAAGTCATTTTAGCTGAAAAAAATAAATGGATTTAAGAATATGGAAATTTAAATTTGAAACACTGATTTGATACAAAAATATGCACATTAGTGGGGAGGGGTAGCACTGATTTAAATTTGAAAGGATGATTTAATACAAAAATATGCACATTAGTGGGGAGGGGTAACACTGATTTAAATTGAAAACGATGATTTGATACAATAATATGTACATTAGCGGGGAGGGGTAACACTGATTTAAATTGAAAACGATGATTTGATACAATAATATGTACGTTAGTGGGGAGGGGTAACACTGAATTAAATTGGAAAAGATGATTTGATACAATAATATTTACATTAGTGGGGAGGGGTAGCACTGATTTAAATTTGAAACAATGATTTAATACAACAATATGTACATTAGTGGGGAGGGGTAGCACTGATTTAAATTGGAAATGATGATTTGATACAACAATATGTACATTAGTAGGGAGGGATAACACTGATTTAAATTTGAAACAATGATTTAATACAACAATATGTACATTAGTGGGGAGGGGTAACACTGATTTAAATTTGAAACAATGATTTGATACAACAATATGTACATTAGTGGGGAGGGGTAGCACTGATTTAAATTGGAAACGATGATTTGATACAACAATATGTACATTAGT